CTATGTTATAATGCTAAATGTTCCTTCACTATCCTATGTTATAATGCTAAATGTTCCTTTACTATCCTATGTTATAATGCTTAATGTTCCTTCACTATCCTCTGTTATAATGCTAAGTGTTCCTTCACTATCCTATGTTATAATGCTAAGTGTTCATTTACTATCCTATGTTATAATCCTTCCTTTACTGTCCTATGTTATAATGATAAATATTACTTCACTATCCTATGTTATAATGCAAAATGTTCCTTCACTATCCTATGTTATAATGCTAAATGTTCCTTCACTATCCAATGTTATAATGCTAAGTGTTCCTTCACTATCCTATGTTATAATGCTAAGCGTTCCTTCACTATCCTATGTTATAATGCTAAATGTTCCTTCACTATCCTATGTTATAATGCTAAGTGTTCCTTCACTATCCTATGTTATAATGATAAATATTCCTTCACTATCCTATGTTATAATGCTAAATGTTCCTTCATAGTCCTATGTTATAATGCTAAGTGTTCCTTCACTCTCCTATGTTATAATGTTAAATGTTCCTTCACTATCCTATGTGATAATGCTAAATGTTCCTTCACTTTCCTATGTTATAATGCTAAATGTTCCTTCACTATCCTATGTTATAATGCTAAGTGTTCCTTCACTATCCTATGTTATAATGCTAAGTGTTCCTTCACTATCCTATGTTATAATGCTAAGTGTTCCTTCACTATCCTATGTTATAATGCTAAATATTCCTTCACTATCCTATGTTATAATGCTAAATGTTCCTTCACTCTCCTATGTTATAATGTTAAATGTTCCTTCACTATCCTATGTTATAATGCTAAATGTTCCTTCACTATCCTATGTTATAATGCTAAGTGTTCCTTCACTATCCTATGTTTTAATGCTAAATGTTCCTTTACTGTCCTATGTTATAATGTTAAGTGTTCATTCACTATCCTGTGTTATAATGCTAAGTGTTCCTTCACTAACCTATGTTATAATGCTAAATGTTCCTTCACTAACCTATGTTATAATGCTAAATGTTCCTTCACTATCCTATGTTATAATGCTAAGTGTTCCTTCACTATCCTATGTTATAATGCTAAGTGTTCCTTCACTATCCTATGTTATAATGCTAAGTGTTCCTTCACTATCCTATGTTTTAATGCTAAATGTTCCTTTACTGTCCTATGTTATAATGCTAAGTGTTCCTTCACTAACCTATGTTATAATGCTAAATGTTCCTTCACTAACCTATGTTATAATGCTAAATGTTCCTTCACTATCCTATGTTATAATGCTAAGTGTTCCTTCACTATCCTATGTTATAATGCTAAGTGTTCCTTCACTATCCTATGTTATAATGCTAAGTGTTCCTTCACTATCCTATGTTATAATGCTAAATATTCCTTCACTATCCTATGTTATAATGCTAAATGTTCCTTCACTCTCCTATGTTATAATGTTAAATGTTCCTTCACTATCCTATGTTATAATGCTAAATGTTCCTTCACTATCCTATGTTATAATGCTAAGTGTTCCTTCACTATCCTATGTTTTAATGCTAAATGTTCCTTTACTGTCCTATGTTATAATGTTAAGTGTTCATTCACTATCCTGTGTTATAATGCTAAGTGTTCCTTCACTAACCTATGTTATAATGCTAGATGTTCCTTAACTATCCTATGTTATAATGCTAAATGTTCCTTCAATATTTTCTCTCACATTTATAAGTACCCGTTCATTACTCTGTGTTATAAAAATATATTTTTTCTTCAAGTTTCCTATGCTATGATGCTAAGTGTTACCTCAGTACCCTCTGATATAATTGTAAGCGTTCCTCCTATAACCCAAGCCCTGTCATATAATGATGAAGTGTTCGTTTTCCTGTGTCCTAATGATTTATAAGTAAATGGTGCTTCAATGTCCTTTCCAATAAAGATCAGCATTTCTTCTAAACTCTTTTATCTAAATGATGAACGTTTCTTCAATATCCTCTGTCATTAAGAACAATGTTCTTACTATATGCTTTGTCACCAATATATGTGGTCCGTAAATATCCTTTTTCGTAAAGATAAGTTTTCCCTCAATATTCTCTGTTGTAAAGATAATTGTCCTTCAATATTCATATCATAAACAGTAGAGTTCTTACAGTTTTCTCCAGTATAATGTTGAGTGTTCCTTCAGTATATCTACTTTCACAGAAATAAGTGTTATTTTAATGTTCCTTGGCATTAAGGTTGGCATTCCATTATTATCCTCTGCAATAATGAAAATGTGTTCCTTCATTTTTCACCATAAAGATAAAAGTTCCGTCAATATTCTCTGTTGTTCTTGAATGTGTTTCTTCAAAATCGTCAGTTATGATTTAGATTAGATTTAAACATATTTTTATTGTCATCAAACAACTGGTATTAGGCACAAGTTATAACAACTCAGTGACACCTTCTCCCAAAAACAGTACATTAATCAACATATGATTATTAGTATTCCTTCATTATACCCTGTCAAAATGAGTTTTCCTTCAAAATCCTCTCATAACCACGAGTATTCAGTTGATTATTTTCCTCTGTCATAATATGTGTTCAGTTGAACAGTTTCCTTTGTCATAATGATAAGTGTTCCTTCAATATCCTATGTCATAATGACAGAGCTCCTTCAATATCCTTTTGTAATGATAAGTGTTCAATATTCTATGTCACAAAGATATTTATTCCACATTCTCTCAAAAAAAAGTGTTTTGTCAGTATCTGTCATAATGATCAGTGTTCCTTACTATCTTTTCATAGCAATAAATGTTCCTTTATTGTTCTCGGTCATTAACATAAATGTGACTTTGGTATCCGATGTCATATTTATATGTATAAGTGTTCGTTTTCCTTTTGCCTAATGTTGCATGTTTGTTCAGTCTTCTGTATCCTCTTTCAAAATAGTAAGTGTGCCTTACTTACATTTTCTATCAAAAAGACATGTGTTTCTTCAACACCATCTCTCATAATGATCAATGTTTCTTCATTATTCTGTCATTTAGTTAAGTGGTCCATCAAAAATTCTTTCACAAATATGACTCTTCCAGCAGTATCCTTCCCTAATAAATATTTCTGCTCTATCCTCTTTAATAACATGAGTGTTTGGTCAATTTTATCCTGTCATAGGTATAAGTGTTCCTTCAATAGCCTCAGTCATAATAAGTGTTTCTTTAATAGCCTCTGTCATAACAATATGTATCCAAAAGCGTTCCTTCAGTATCTTCTGTCATTACACTTAGTGTATTAAAGTGTTCTTCAATATCTTCTGTCTTTATGCTTAGTATTCAATGTGTTCCTCAGTATTCTATGTCATTATGCTTAGTATACCAAAACGTGCATTCAGTAACCTCTGTCATTATACTTATTATCCTGAACTGTTCCGAAATGTCCTCTTTAATTTGCTTGGTATCTGAATGTGTTTCCCAATATCCTCTGTCATTATGCTAAGTATCCCAATGTGTTCCTTCAATATCCTCTGTTGTTATACTTAGCATCTCGGAATGTTCCCCAATATCCTACATTATTATGCTTAATATCTTGAGTGTTTTTTCAATATCCTCTGTCATTATGTTAAGTATCCTGAAGTGTTCCCCAATTTCCTCTGTCATTATGTTAAGTATCCTGAAGTGTTTCTTAAATATCCTCTGTTATGCTAAGTATCCTGAAGTGTACCTTATTACCTTCTGTCATTATGCTTAAGATCCCAAATTGTTCCTCAATAGCCACTGTCATTATGTTTAGTGTCATGAAGTGTTTCTCAATATCCTCTGTCGTTATGCTAAGAATACTGAAGTGTTACCCAATATCCTCTGTCATTATGCTAAGTATCCTGAAGTGTTCCTTAATATTCTCTGTTGTTATGCTTAGTATTCCAATGTGTTCCTTCAATATCCTCAGTTGTTATACTTTGCATTTCGAAATGTTCCTCAACATCCTCTTTTATTATGCTTAATATCCCTCAGTGTTTCTTAAATATCCTCAGCCGTTATGCTAAGTATCCCGATGTGTACCTTAATACCTTCTGTCATTATGCTTGAAATCCCAAATTGTTCGTCAATTGCCACTGTCATTATGTTAAGTGTCATGAAGTGTTTCTCAATATCCTCTGTCGTTATGCTTAGTATCCTTAAGTGTTCCTTTAATATTCTTTGTCATTATGTTTAGGTTCTCTACGTGTTCCTTCAATATCCACTGTCATTATAGTTAGTATCTTTAAGTGTTCCTTCAATATCCAATGTCAATATGTTTAGTAACCTAAATTATTCCTTAATATCATCTGTCATTCTGCTTAGTATGCCAAAGTGCCCTCAATATACTCTATCATTATGTTAAGTATCCCGAAGTGTTTCTTCAATATCCTCTGTAATACAAAGCAGTCCGTCATTACATCCCTTACCATATTGAAGATATTCCTCTCTTCTCATACAAGTTATCAATTCTGATGATGCATTGGCATGTTAATACTGTTTTTGCTGTTCATCATCAGAACAATTTGGGCACCAGAACCACTATATAAAAACATACATTGTCTATAATGAATCAACGAAATAACATCAATTTCTGTTAATGGATGCGATTATCAAAGTCTGAAGCATTTTTGGTCTTAACGCGTGATGCGTTTTCCAAAATATATATCACATACGGAAGTATGATATGGATAAGAATTTATGACCTGTGTGACATGTGGCATTTGCCTATCTTTCTACTGAATTTGACATAAGCCAATGTGAAATTGAATCGAACATGTGACCTTCAATGGCATATAGCTAGCGGGTTGGATGACATTTCGATAGTCATAACGAAGACTAGTACCAGGATCATAGGAGGTTGGTGTCATTGAGATAGTAGCATAAAAAAGTAGACAGGAAAGAAAAGATTTATTAACCGTAAGTATCTAGAGCGCCAAAACATAAAGGACTCTGGTTGTTAATGTAAACTTACTATATGCCTAATAATAATGTGTTTTAATACTTTCAGATGCATCGTACTTACTGAAAGATGGAGAAATTTAAATCGAATGCGATTACATTTGACCCAGAAAAGGATGACCGTTCGCCAGCCGAGGTTAGCCTTGAAATAGACGATAGTCTTGACGTGAAACCATTTCATCACAGACCTTTCCGGAAACCTCCAATAATTGGTAAAGAACAACAATATCAGACAGATGACAAAGTTCATCAATTGCATATGTTCCACGAAACTGACTTTGTCGTGTTGCTATATGGTTTTATGAATGATAACAAAATAGACCTTGCCACAATAACGGATGCAGACCTGGACTCGAAGAAAGATAACATTACTTGGTTTGACTTTAAATCCATGACCATGTTCGCTAGTGTTAACAAGCAACGTTATACCCGTACCGAAATCAATGCAGCTGCAGAAAGGCTGACAGGTTATTACATAGAAGAAGGTATAGGACCGTTCACAGAGAAAAATCTCGATGGTACATACCGTTTGCTGGATCCAGAGTATATGGAATACGCCATACTGTATTACTATGGCCGCTCCAATATGTGTATGCTTGTACGAGTCGCTCCATGGCAGGCCATGTTTATGAATATAATACCATGCGATTTGGAACCAATGCACCTGCCAATCGGATGCGATAGTTCAAGATTTGATAGTATGACGATGGGGGAGAGAGACTGTATGCTGGCGTCTGAAAGGATGATAAAGGAGATTTTGGAAGGAAATGTTAATGATTTGGTGACATCCCCATTTTTTTACAGTCGTAGAATGAAAAAAGAATTTTTCAAATTGGCCAAGGAGGAGGGAAACTTGAACGAAATTTTCTCAGCTGTTGACAAGTTCTCGAAACCAGAACGGCCAAAAACCTTCTTGTACTGTATCGTTGCAAATGCTATGCCAAATCTAGATTTTCTAGACCAGGTACTGACACTTTTCATGAAGAGTGATTTATCACATGAAGAGAAGATCCTCCAGCTAACAGCGTCTTGTGCTGCAGCGTGCCGATGGGGTCACATTCTTATCTACGAGAAACTCAGCAGATTAATAGAAACACCAACATTTGAGATACTAAGGAAAGCAGTTGTTGGAGGAAATACGGATATCATGCGCGGTATTCTCCGTGATTATGAATGGAGCGAAACTGCGACCAGGTCAGCTATGGAATGGGCCTGCTTCCTAGGTTTGGGTGATGTCGTTAGAGTGATACAGGGTGCTGGTGTACGCTTCTCAAAGAGGTGTCTCTACGACGCGGCTTATGGAGGTAATAAAGGGTTGTTCTTTGAAATCTGCAACGAAGGATACGATTTAGAGACACGATTCAAAGACGGCCAGACTGTTCTACACGTAGCTGCTGAAAGAGGCCATTTCAGTATTGTTGAATTCTTGGTGCACCGGGGAGGAGTAGATGTCGATACTGAAAACCCAAAGCGTGAGACTGCATTGCATATTTCATTGAAAAATGGTCATGAAGAAGTTGCAGAGACGTTGTTGGACGGAAATGCAAACACGGATCTTCGTGATGCTAGTGGATCCTCTCCTCTCCACAAAGCATGTGCTTTAGGGAACATGCATCTTGTGGAAAGGATACTGGCCACTGGATGCAACTCTAATCCTGCGGACAATGATGGAAGGTCTGTGTTACATAAAGCAGCCTTTGGTGGTAATTTGGATGTCATACGCCGTCTCCGTCAACTTGGAAATGCAGTGGATGTGTTGGATACCAATGGAAGCTCTGTAGTACACTATGCTTCTATCCAAGGACATCTGCAGATTGTTGAATACTTCATGAACGAATACCCAGCTTTGATCGCAAAAGGAAATGAAGAAAGATGGAACCCAATTGCATGTGCTGCATTCGGGGGACACTTTGAAGTGCTTGACTTTCTGGTTAGAAACCATGCAGGTATTCTCGTTGTGACATCATCGGGAAAGAACGCAAGACAACTGGCAAATGAAGGCTTAAGTTTCAAAGAATCAAACGAGAAGTATTATATGGAACAGTTTAAAGAGTATGTGTCATTTGGAAGCATTGGCAGTTTCAATAAATCAATAGAGCTACTTACTGACGTGGATCGCCAGATAGCATCGAACGATAATGATTCTTAATGTTCACTTGTGCCAAACCATACATTCTTGAATACATGAATACATTGTAAGCACTGGCCATCAAATTATTGATTTAACTATAGGAATTTAATTATATACCTTATAAATGTATATTCTTTACGAATTATATTTTTCATACCTTTAGCCATTGTTTGTACAACTGTACATTTATGGAGAATCGACCAACCGAATCAACAACAACCACGAACTCTTGTACGAAACTAAGTGGTGAGAAGACTAAGATAGTGTTATAGGTGTGAAATGGACATATATTCCTCGGTCAAAGCTGAAGCATGTCATTTGTTCCTTTGGTCACCATCTGAAAATATCCAATCAGAAGATATATGGAATAGCAAAGTAATACCGAGTAACCTAAAGAATTGACCAGTGATATAAGCTATTTTGACTGCAGTAGATTTTTTTTTGCGTTTGAGCCGCTACTTATTTGCTTCTTAATCAGTATTTTCGGCTGTTTGCTTGAAAATTGTAGATTTGCAATGAGCGTTCAGTTTAAAACTTACCATAATCTCGGTAAGTACTTTTGGCTTTAAACTTGTTGATCTTATGTTCTTTTTTATTATTTATTTCTTGAAACCATGCTAAGGTGACGCTAGTTTTTTCCCTATAAAACGCACAAGTTGCATTTCAGAATTACAATACCGTATTGCTGGTAATTTCCACGAGTCATTTTTTTAATTTTCTAAAGAGGTCTAATTGAATAACAACAATTAAATATTATATATATATATATATATATATATATTATTTTATCATATTATTATTTCATGGGGTCAATTTCGGCGGTTAGGTTAATATACCGCGAAATAATGAAAATATCTCTGCGAAAAATAACCGGCTTTACGATCGTTTATAATTTTGCGGCACATCGTTGTTTTGCATTGGTCACTTGTCATCAGGGCGATAACATATCCTATCACAGTAGTTGTTCTTGATTGGCTATCTAGTAGCTTTTTTTAATCGCATCCTCCAACTAAGAGTTCCTTTTTATACGCCGCCGGATGCGGTCGTATATTGGCGTCATCTTCTCCGTCTGTCCGTCCGTACGTCCATTTCTTGTCAACGCAACTCCTCCTTAACTAATGATCAGCTTTTCATAAAACTGCTCAATGTCACTAATACAATCGTTCGATGTGCATGAAGGGGCGATTTTACGGTTCATTGATTTTTGTAAGATTTATCCCATTTGCAACTTTGTGTCTTTAGCTTACTCATAGTGGAGCCTTGTAACTGTAACTCCTCCCAAACTAATGATAAGAGTTTCACGAAACTTTCTCAATGTCACAACTACAGTGGGTGGATGTGCTGGAAGTGGCGATTTTACGGTTTTTCTTGATCTTTATATTTTGTGGCGGCGTATATTGTGCCCACGGCACTCTTGTTAATCTGTGTCGACAGATATCTTTTAATCTTTCGTTGCAATTGATAAAATCGTGAATGTTCACAGTGTTTTCCTACGCAGGTTACTGGATCTATCAGCCTTCTTAAATAAAGATAGCCAATTTTGTTACAGCGCTCCATAAAATTTTGTTTCAGCCGTTATTGAAAACAACACTTTTAGAGAAATAAAGTGCGATAATTTTTGTTGACTCCAGGAATCGTGTTGCTGAGTATAAAATAAAAAGACATTTTCTTGTAATAAATTTTCTGTTTCACCTGGGGCAATTCCTAAGAGTGCGTTTAGCCGAATGATTGCGATGTTCCAATGCAGGCCTTTAAATGACGACGCATGAAATGAGATGGTTTGCTTTGTCGCTGCAGAGCGGATCACATGTGAGAAATTGATATATATATACTAAAAGGATAAAGAAACGCAGGATAATATTTATTCCGATATTTTGAAAACGCGTTCTCCAAATAAAGTGAAACTTTGTTTATTGAGTAATTAGGTCATATTACACCTTGTCATGTATCGAAAATTTAGTCACGGTACAGTGCGCAGCTCTGGTAAAAAACAAGAATCTCGTGCACCGTGGTGTTCTGGTTTCATGCAGCGTTGGTCAAGTCACTCTTCGTTAGTCTTTATACAGACCAACTGCTTCCCTAAAATTAATTGAGAATTTGATTCGTTTTAAGAATGGCACGACTCACAGAAGTTCAGAGGGTCAGACCATTCAGATGCTGATGGAAGGACAGCTGCAAAATCAGGTTGCTAGGCACTTTGGTGTTAATGTTTCCACCATAGAACGGGAAACTGGGCGATTGGCCGATCGACCTAGGTCAGGACGTCCGCGCGTAACGTCATGACGTCAGGATCGCTATATCGTCGTCTCTCATGTGCGTAATCGGCGCCTTACTGCCGTTGAGAGTTGACTTAATGTTCGTGGAAATCATGGGCGTCCTAAAAGTTAAAAAAATGTAAGGAATCGATTACGAGAAGTTGGTGTAAGAGCACGTCGCCCCTACGTAGGTCCACACCTTACTCCTGCTCGACGTCAGCGTCGTATGTCCTGGGTCGCTGCACATGCTCCACGACGGTTTCCACTGAGGCAGTGGAGACAAGTTTTCTTCACGGACGAGACTCGATTCTGTCTTTATCGATCTGACGGCCGTCAACGTGTCTACCGACGTCGTGGCGAACGTTTTACGGACGCTTGCGTTGTAGAGAGGAATAGGTTTGGGGGCAGTTCAGTAATGGTGTGGGGAGGAATCTCACACGGGTTAAAATCACAATTGGTTGTTATTGATGGCAATTTAACAGCAGCTAAGTATAGAGATGAGATCCTTCGACCCCATGTTATCCCTTTCTTACAGCAGCATTATCTAACCCTCCAGCAGAATAATGCTAGGTCCCACGTAGCAAGGATTTGCCAAGTCTTTCTGGCCAACAACAACATTCAACCACTAGATTGGCCGCCATATAGCCCTGAATTGTCCCCGATCGAGCATCTTTGGGACCAGTTGGATAGACAGGTTCGAAAGCGCCAGCCACCCCCTGTTACTCGAGAGCAGTTGACCAGAGCTCTGATTGAAGAGTGGGACAACATCCCCATAAGACGGATCAACGCTCTCATGAACTCTATGACCAGAAGAATAAGGGCCGTGACCACAGCAAACGGCGGACACACAAGATTTTGATGACTCAGTTCAATTTCAATTGATATATATATATATATCTATAGATTCACACATTGTGATGGAAACATCCAATGTACGCTGATGAAACAAACTGTATCTTTAAAATGGCGTGTGCGGAAGAAAAATATATTGTAGATCATATCGATGCTGGAAATTGAGTTCAGTCATGAAGATAGCTACACATTTTCATGGCGACTGCCACTGAGAAATAAAAGGTTTACGGGATAGACTCCAAGGATAAACTGTTTTTGATAATTATAACACAGTGATACAGCAGGTTAGCTATCATGTTGGCAACGGAAATTGATTTGTTTGTAATTACCAAGACCATCATGTCCTTTCAAATTTTGATAAAACTTCGAATCAAGATAGTATATTTTATGAGCGTGATTTAGTGCATGCCGTTTGAACTCCAATTGCATCCTGAATTCGGACAGAGAAGAGTTCTTTTACGACCCAGCAGTGTTACCATGGGCCTAGCTTGCTATAAAGCAACTGAGAAGAAGAAAAAAAAAATAGCCATTGTCAGCGTCGAAAAATACATGCATTGTAGCGGCAGAGTGTACTCCTGGTAATTTCGGTAAATTGCATAAGAAAGGCGATGGGCGGAACGGGCATAAATAGTCTCATTTATTTTCTGTCACGTAAACTCGGGAATTATCTATTTTGATAACCAAATCAAGCTGTATACTGCATATTCTTAAGCACTAGTGGTAAGTTCTGTCCACAAGATTTGAAGACAAAAGGACTTTTCTGTGCAGTCATGAATTAAACGATTTCGCATTTTCATTTCAAGATTCAGTGAAATTTAAAAGCTTGAAGACAACTATCCCAACGCTGTTCAGGGAAGCCATTATCTGGCCCCTACACAAACAAAGAAGTAGACAAAACAGAAACCAAAACAAAGCAATGACAGCAAAAATAAAACATAGCTTTAACATGTCACGATGGACTGAAAAAAATCAAGCATTTAATTTCCGTCGTGTAGGTGAAGGACTTGTGAAGTTGCACCGTTTATCGTTTATCATTTCTACCAAGATAAGTTTGAAATATGGTGAAATCATATCAAATCATGATGAAAGTCAGAAATGGTTGCAAAAAGTTTGTATTAATATACTGGAAATATATCGGTGCATTTGATAAAAAGTGCGTGTATGTATGCACAACTAACTAATACATGTAGATGTATTCAACTAAAGCTATAGTAAGAAAGTGATTCTGGTAAACTTACGGACGTTTAGCGCAGTGATAACACACTCGCCTTTTCACCTAGATGTCCGGGGCTCGATTCCCCGAATGGACGTGGAAAGGTATTCGGGTCCCCAGCATACACTACAGCTTATGAATCCCCTGGGCACTCCGGATTCCTCCCAGAGTAAGACCCATCGATCGCTTCAAACTAGATGAACAAAATCGATTGTCGTACTGTAAGCTTATTCGCTTGTTGGAAAATTGATAGAATTTGTGTAATTGGATTGAGTCCGCAACTGAGTATTCTCTAATGAGTTTGACTTTTACATAGTACAGATACTTGGCCAAACTATGACACTTCAGCAACAAGTTGGACCATGTTGATTTCCCGTCGGTCACATTGTATCACATATACATGCATCCATTTATGATCCAAGTGTAAAGTTTTCTACAGTGTTACATTCATCGAACATGAGTCTGTATTTGTTGTGTATTGGAAAGACTTTTAGCATAATCAAATACTTCCCCCACGCTGCGTTTCCTCATCGTTACAATTTCTGCTACAGAGATGATAGTGTTGAAAATAAAAGTTAATTATGTTTTGGAAGGTACTCAAAACCTTATGAATGCATGTCTGGAATGTAAGCTTGATATCGTTACAACTTGTCCAACAAGTGAAATGGAGCAATCGTTTTAGCTTTACCCTTCCTTGTAATGTGCATTTCTATGTCGTATCAGAGTGCATTAATGAAATGACTAATTCCAATTCTAATACTAAGAATACTGTATTCGCTTTTTTCATTATTCCTCAAATGAAATTTATTTTCAGTCCAGAAACTGTTTATAGCTAAACAGTAAGACACGAGCTTTAAACTATAAAGGTATTGTAATTTGAGAGAGTCGCCAATTCGTTTTAATTCCAACACATCACAAACTGACATTCTGTAGAAACGGCTCATTATTTGTAATTAATTGCCTGGTCGTACTAATCATTCCAAATTACTTCACGTTGCCATTTATAAAAGATGTTTTGTTTACATTCAAGATTAATTTTCAAAGCGGAAATTAATTCCAATGCATGAGAACAGACACTATTGTGATTTTCAAAATTAATCTGTAAGAATGTGTCTTTATTACATAACTCCTAAATTACCAAATAACACGCATGGAGATTAACATGTGGGGTGTGCAACGGAAACAAAGGCGATTTGACAAAAAACAAAAAGAAAATATCCACATGTGAGCACCATCATAATCCAAACTCGAATTTAATTAATTAGCGCAAAATATCAACATATAGATGAGAAAAGGACAAGGAGAATAAGAGCAGATGTTCCGGAAGAGTAAGCGTCTTCTGCTTCATACACGACTCTTGCCGTGGACACTTTGCTTAATCCTAGTAGATAATGTCATATTCTAAAATGAGAAATATGTACAGCAAAAACAACAGACACACTAAAGAGCATCATACATATTTAGCTTCATACCGCAAGGCAGTGTCATGACAGATTCAATATTTCTTAATAGATCACTTTGACGATCGTAAAACTATCCCATAATTTTCATCACTCGGCATCAACGACAAAATATGTTGTCAGCTTATTTAAGACTTGAAGTTCAAACACACCAAATTTTGAGTTGATTTTTTTTTTTTTTTTTTTTCGATCACTTTGCAGTTTCCTCAGTCGCCTCATAATCTTCAAAATTTGGGCCGTCGGCATCCTTAACAGATCCTAGACGGACGAAACAGCTGTATGATGCACTTTGATTCATTGTTCATTGTTTGTGTCTAACTCTAAATTTATATTAAAAAGTGTTATTCACTAGTGTCTCTTTTGCCCAATCTTTGCTATATTTCCCTTTTTCCGACTTCATAGCTTATATTAATAGAACAGAACAAGATCAATATGGCTCAAAGCTTTGTTCTTTTTATAACTTCGGTAAAAATAGAGACATTTCAGAAGTCTCGCATTCATGATTTTTGAATTTGTGGTGATGATGTTGCTATGCAAAACATCGAGCAAAGGACAAGCTACATTCGCATAGAGAATGTGATACACTAATTCATTATCAATCACAAAGAATTTTAAAGATTCGCACAGATGTACAATTGCAAGTTTCCATTATTTTTAATCATAATGAAAATGAATATTATCACTATTGAATGACAATTACAATAATAAAAATCATAAGACAATATATATATTAAACTACAATGAAAGACAAGTAACCGACTCCTGTTTGCAGAATGTTATTTTGAATATACACATGTATTTGACGTTATCCGGTAACTAATTAATATGCAAATGAATATTGATGTT